GATAGGACCTATTCTAAAATCAATCGAGAGTTTTGGTCACGAACTGCTCATTTGCTAATAATTTTGCACACAGTTGACGAAACATAGTTCTTTTTGAGGCAGTGGATAGAATAAAGTTTAAGCTTGTTATAGGTACCCCTTAGCTCAGTCGGTAAAAGCGCAGCTACAAAGCAAGACCATGCTGGAGGTGGCTGGGTTCAATTCCCGGTCCGGTCTAGGAATTTTTCGGGTTGGAAAATTTCTCGACTTCCCTGGGCATAGAAGTATGATTGGACTTGCCACACAATCATATCAATGCAAAAATGGTACAGGCATCGAAAGCTCTCAATTAATAACTGTGGAAGTGCATCTAGATAGAACACTGAGTTGAGAGCACGCAATAAGCTAATATGCGATATGCAATAAGCTTGAAATGCGAAGAAGAAGAAGAAGAAGAAGAAAGAAGAAGGTACCCAAAAAATAGATTTTAATCCTAGTAATAAACTGTATTTGTTTTTGCGTTGTTAAAATGAAGTGAAAAATCTAGACCAACGAAATAGGTGGAACAACCAAACGTAAACAATAGCTTTAACAGCAAATTCCTCGAGAATCAAAACACACCAACGCAAAGTAACAATGTTATTCGATAAAAGAAGCTTGCTCTTTCCGATGCTAGTGTTAGATTGCGATAGGCTTATTTTGGTTCTCAAGAAATTTACGTTTGGTTGATCCGCCTATTTCAATTGTTAGTCTAGAAATGCTCGCTGCACACATCGGACTTGAATGGCTGTAAGCTCCGACTCGGATTAAATTTTAATAGGTACCGTCCATGTATGAATGATCTGCAAAATATTTGCTTAGAGTCGTGTTAATTAATTCTGATGTCGACATCAAAGCAGCCAGACATTCTTGATCGGAATTTAATGCGAGGATAATACCGGTTGGAGCTTAGTGTAAAAAATTATTGGTGTTGATTCAAATGTTAACATTTACCTACTCTTTGCATATCTATAGTTAACTATGATCCTAATCTATCAATTACTTTAAACAAAAACAAATTTCAACAACTGAGTGAAAAGTTATTAACAAATGAGCAGTTGGTGTGTACAACTGTGCATTAGAGTGATGCAAAATTTGAAATTTTCGCTCCACAATACTTAAACGATTTCAAATTGGATCCTGACTAACCTCTCAAAATTTGAACCCATTTGGTGAGAAACTGAGATGGCACAAACCATTTGAAGTTTGTATGGGAATTACTATGGTAAAACCAAGATTTTTGTTCATGCCTATCTAATAATTCACCATATCGGTCAGCTTCAAAAAATTTCAACTGTACTTGTAGTAAATTTTCCCAGCTACAACTTTGCTGAAGACCACTTTTTAATTAAATACAAGGATCGAAAGTTATCAATGGTTCAATGCGCTGATGTCTTATGATCATGCTCAATCAACTGCTCAGCAGGCAACATTGTTGTTTCTGGGGCGTTGAATAGGACACAAAAATCATGGCTACTATGTCACACTGCAAAATACAGTGTTGCCTACAGAGCAGCTGCTTGATCATGTCATAAGTTTACCAATCTCTTAAATAATTAATAACTTTTTCCTGTCTCGTTTTACATAGAAACGATCTTCAGCAAAATTGTAGCTGAGAAAATTTTCTATAAGAACAGGGCTGGTAGCAATCACTGCTGTCAAAAATAGTGATTTTAGTGACCATGTTGAAGAAATAAGTGGCCAAAAAGTGACTTATAATTGTAAGAATAGTGACTAAAAAGTGACCTAAGAGAAGAAAAGTAGTTGTAATTTTAATTTTTATTTAGAAAGTTTATGGTCAAACCCACGGTATTAGTCCGGGTGTCTACTATTACTGCAAAAACCTGGAAAATCGAGTATCCTTAGGAAATTTTATTTTTTCTAAAAAATACCTTAAAGTCTCTGAGAATTGAATAATTTTCTTGCTAAGGATATTTTTAAAAAAATAATGAATTTTAAAATACTATCATCTAAATTTTCTCGATATTTTTATGAACACTTTGAAATTTATAGACCGTGTATTAATCTTCAGTAACAAATAAATTTAAAAAAATCAGAGGCTTGCAATGTTACTTTTTTTTTGGTTTTGGAACATGCATATTTTCTACAAATTTTAAATTTGAACTAGTTCTGGTCTTAAAAGTTATAATACTTCAATAAATGTTCAAGAATCTGGAGTCAAATTCCATGCACAGTTTTAGAGGCTCGTGGAATTTTGTTATAATTTCTAAGGACATCATTCCAAGGGAGTTCTGCGATAAAATCTTTAAGAAAAAAACATCAAATGCTATCTGCTTTAAAGGTAGTTCTGATGAATTTTCGATTTCCTGTGAAGCCTGATAGTTTTGAGTAGCATTTCAAGAATCTCTAAATTGAATTAAAAGTAAATTTTTATGAAAACTCTTAAAAATTTCTGAGGAGCACAACTTCTGTGAACTTCAGATGAAAATTCCAAGGGGATCCTGAAGATAATTTCATAAAGTTTGTTGGAGAAAACGTATCCGGAACATAAGTACATGGAATTTTTTGAAAATGCTAAAACAAGGATTACAATTAAATCTAAGAATAACAAAAAAAACATCTTCAAAGGAATTTGGAAAATAAGTTCAGGAGAGTTTGCAAATAAATTATGAGTAGAAATATAAGGAATTTATGCGAACAAATGCCAATGAATTCATAGGAGTCTTTCAATGTGAGTAGAATTCCAAGGGAAGGAGTGAGATTCAAAAGGAAATCTGAAATGAATTCAATGAATATTCGAAGAATCTCTCCAAAGGGTTTCGTATTGTGGAGAATTTCTAGGTTATTCCGAGGAAACTAAAAGAAAATTGAATTCGGAGGATAGTTTCAATGAAAATCTCCGTTGAATATGGAATGGACTATTCTGAGGTCTTCAGAACTACTTGAAAGTTCCCAAATGTTTCCTGAATTTAATGAAACTGCCTTGAAGTTCTTTTGTAGTTTGAGAAACTGACCTGGTGCTTACAATACTTCTCATCAAACTCTTAAACTTCCCTGAGCTTTATAGGGTTTCCTAAATTTTCCTGAATTTTTCTAACGACCATGGATCTCCTCTAAAGGTTTAACAATACGCTGAAGTTTTCGAAACTTCTTTAAAATTTTTGTGACTTCTCTAATGTTAACGGAACTGCTCTGAGGTTTTCTCTTCTTTTCTGAAATTCTCAAAACTTCTCTTAAGTTTTTTTTTTGCTGTTCTCATGAAGCTTGTTGAACTGTCCTGAAAATGTTTAAGCTTCCGTTAACTTCTGAACTTATGCGAAGACCTCAATTAACTTTTTAACGCCTCTGAAGTTCGCTTGACACCTGTGAAGTTCTTTGTAATTCATAAAAGTTGCTGAAAAGGTTTTTAAAGCTTCCAGTAAGTTCCCCATATTTTCAGCGTTTTAACTTACCTTAAAAATTAAGTGCCCATGCTCTCGTTCTACAAACTGCGGGAACAAGTTTGTAGAACGAGAGCATGGGCACTTAATTTTGGCACTTTGAAATTGTTCAATATCTTGAACTTGTACATGGAATACGAAACTTCAAGATATTGAATATTTTTTAGATCTTGGATTTACTCAAAGTTTTTTTTTTAACTTTATTAAAGTGAGAAATTATGTAACTTTTAAACTTCAACATTCAATGGATTTAATTGTAAAGCTGTTTCTTTAAAACTGATTGCAATGTATTAAAAATGTTTGGGTTAATTGCTGTTGTTTTTGATCTGCCAAAAAAGGTATATTTTTAACGCATTTCAAAAAATGCTTTCTTATGATAAGCCTGGAATTTATCCGTTAATGTTCTGGGAAAACCTGGAAAACTCAGATAATTTTTTTTTATAAAAATAAGTAGACATCCTGTAGTTAGATAAAGACGATTAAACGTCACAAAACTTCTTCGAATTGTTCGAAAATTAGAACAAAATGTAGGCAGCGATTGGACTATCAGATCCTACACAGTGCAGTGCAAGAAGAATGATCGATCTTGAAATAAATTCACGCTAAAAAAGTTGAAAATAGTGACTGATTACAAGAAAAAGTGACTTTAGTGACTTGATCTAAAAAAAAGAGACTTTTTAGTGACTGGCTTGAAAAAAGTGACCAAGTCACTAAAAAGTGACTCGCTACCAGCCCTGTAAGAATGGCTATCGAACTGTTTCGCAGCTCAATATGGAAAAAGACTAGAAGGCAATGAACAAAAAGTTGAGATTTCCCATAGTAATTTACATGTAAACTTCAAATGGCTTGTGCTAAGTCTGTTTCTAACCAAATGAGTTGTAACTTTGAGAGGCTAATCAGGACCCGATTTGAAACCGTCAAATTTTGCATCAGTCTACTGTGCATGCCAAGCATGTCGGTGCCAACATTTCAAAAGGGCGAAATTGCTTTTGTAAACAATGGCGTTACCCGTCGATTTATCGCGAGTAAAAGCTCACACATGCAAAGTAAGGACACCATCAGGTAGAGGTACCAGCCGGCATTCACCCATATTCTTGTTTTCGTTCAAACCGTATTTTCCATACAAAAAAAAACTATTTTTTTTATGGAAAATACGATTCGTACGAAAACAAGAATATGGGTGATTGTTAATTTACAGCAGTGAGCTTTTGGCAGTTAAAGTAATTGTTAACAAAAACAGTTTCACCCTAATTAAATGATGGCCCCAAACTTTGACCGAAGCGACTTCGATAAAAGACCTGTATAACGCTATTTTCTAACGGGGATCGTCGGATTCGCGTCGCTCTTCGATCCATCCGGGCGGCGTTTGCTTCTTTTTTCGCAGAAAAAAAAATATCACCCTCTCTTGAATGTTACTTTTTCGAATTTAAATTTTCCGATTGCCTGCCAACTCTCTCTCTATTCTTCTCTCTTGCTTACACCCACGACGACGACGTTTCTTTTTGATTTCTTTCAATGATCGAAACACGAATGCTCTTTTCAAGTCGAGCCTATAAATTATTTATAAAAACATTTCGACAATATATATAAAAAAAAAAACAATTATACACCAGCACTGCTAATCCTAGCACTTTTTTTTTTCCTCTGTAACCTTAATTAGTTGATAAATGATAAAGATACATAAGATTCCACAAAATTCACTCTCAATCTTTGCGCTTCATCTCTCTCATTCTCGCACGACTCAGGCACGCTCGGATCTGACGGACGGTGGACTGGGACGCGTTTTATTCGCTCTTTGTCACTGCTGAACTGGATGGGTAGGGGTGGGGGTGCGGGGAGGGTCATTTTGACACTCATGACGATAACCGTCCGAAGTATTCCTTCTTCCGACCAGCGCCATCGCTTCCGGCCAGCCCGGGCCACTGCACCACGAACAAATCCGTTATCCACTGGAGGATTTGGCCACTGAGTGAGAGGCTCTTCACGCGACAGAAGCTCTCGACGAAGACAATTTTACAGTTACGGTTGATGAAGAACAGCTTGGCCAGAAATGCGACCAAGCAGATCGGAACGCATGTCCCGGGACCGTTGGTCAGAATCAATTCCGGTCGGGATCGTAGCACCACCGGGATACTATTCCCAAGAGCTATCAGGGTGGTGAATATCGAGCTGAAGTAACCCTGATGGACATAACGACTCCGGGTAATGGTCATAATTTCGTACTGCTGTTTGGCCAGATCCGGCTCTCGGCGAACCTCGACATCGATCACCTTCACCACACTGGTCTTATCGGCCTCTGCTATCACGTAATGCCTGGGAGCGTACTTGCCGAAATCCAATCGTTCCACAATCTGCAACATTTCTGCCGTGTGTCCCCCGGAACCCATCACGATCATCGTTTTGGCAGGACCTTTCCGCTTGGCTCCGACGACCGATTCTGCACCAACATTCCGCCGAGAATTGTTTCGTATCACCACCAACAGGTAGGCAAGTCGTATCAGGACTAACCCGATCAACACAAGCACCAACTGCAGCAACAGGCCCATCTTCAAACAGGTAAACTTTCTCCTTTGTCCCAAACCAACAAACACAGACAATCTTTTTACTATTGACGATCCTCGATCATCCACTTGTCCACCTCATCACTTTTGTTTACATATACTTCTTCTTCTTCGTCGGGGTAGTCTGCGTCCAGACGAACGCGCTTGTCAGGATCTTCCGCGCCCTTCCGTGTCTGTCTCCTCAGATTCGAGGACAGCCGTGTACCACCTTCTTCTTTCTTGCGTCACTGGCTGCTGATGAATGAAATTCCTTACTGCCTCGTCGACGCCTGACAGACTGGCGTCCTACTATCGTTCCTCCGTACAAGTGCTTCGTTACTGACGATGATGATGGATGGTGACGATGATGATGATACCACTACTGGTGCGCAGTAGTTGCGAACTTCCGAGGTTCACTAGATATATTTACAACAGCGACGGGTACTTGGAGTTGCACTAAATAACTCCCCGTAAGTAAACCGAACGACTGACTGCGAGATTCGATTGGCACGGACGGATAAGCTGCGTGAGATTACTGCTTTGAGAAGGGAGAAACACACTACAGGTACATGCAGCAGATATCTAATTAATACGTAGGTATATATCTACTACGTATATCACTGACTGACTGGCTGACTGAACACTGATGGAGTTGGGAGTTGGAGCACGGAATGGAACGGCATGTACGGATGGTACGGATGGCAAGCAACAAGTGTCACGATGACATCCGCGCGGATTTGGCAGTTTGGCGTACGTCATCTTTCCTTCATGGATATGGTTCCGAGCGGAGGTGTCAAAGGAGCGCAGCCATCGGTGCCGTTCCGGGTGTTTTGAAATGGCCGTTGCATTTCCAAAGGGTTGTACGAGGATGAATACAGGGTAGGGTGTTCCAAAGGAGCTAGAATATTGTAGATTAGCCCGCCTAAACGCGAACAATAACTTGACCTTACCGAAAATGGTTAAAAATGGTTTACTTGCTAAATGCTAAACTTTAACTGAAATGGTTATGGAACTTTACATGAACGTTTGTTTGAGAAAGTTAAGGTTAAATGCAATATGGTTTTTTGGAAGTGAACCTTACAATTAATGGGTTAAAACGCTGTCCAGACTGGAGAGTTATAACATGTTATAACGGTTGTCAAATAACTGCAACACAGAAACCACCATCAAGATAGCGCTATAACATGTTATAACCAACAATCAATACGAAACTAACGATTTTAAATTGGCTCACCACTTTAGTAGCCTATTGGTCCCAAGCAAACGATTAACGTACCCTATTCTAGTTGAAATTCTATTACTACACTATGTTTGTTTTGATTCGCTATGAAAGTTTGACAGATAACATCAGGGGTGTGTGGATTCATGCAGAACATGCAGGGGTGAGTGAAATAGCTTGGGACTGCTTGGGACCGTTGTTCTGGTACTGAGTGAGCCAAAAATAATAATGATTTTCTTCGGGACCCAGTGGTCTTAGAGTTACCTCTATGTTATAACTCTGTAGTCTGAACGTACTATAAGATCCATTACCATTCCAAATTCTTGTTTTCTCCATACATTTTCGGAAAGAAAATTATATTAGAACATTTTTAGTTATGGTTTGATAACTTTAATGGTAATGGTTATCGTAGTCAGTAAGGTGCATGGATGGTTTTGTAAAATCCATCAACTTTATGTGGAATATACACTCAAAGATAAATTAAATCAAAAAAAAGTAGAAGGGTCTGTGCCTAGGGGCACGAACGGAAGCTTGACGTAGGACCGCTAGTGGACGGAATAAATGTGAAGAGCATTTAGTTCTTTTAATTGATCAATTATCTATTATCTCAACTCTTTCCGTTTTTGAATTGTAGGCGTACCAAAGTTGTAGTAATTTTTTTCAAAGAGAAAGTTGATTAACATAATCAATCAAAATCACTTGCACCCCTGCTTCCAAGTTTGATTACAAGATTACAACTCTGGAGAGCATTTTGTGTGGTCGTTCGGGGCTTGTGGTTCTGAATATGGACAAACAGGCACAGATAAATTCTATTCCAACCTAGATTCCAACTCTTTACTGATATAAGCTTGATGGCCCTGAAAAGAGCCGTAGAGGACATCCATGGCCACTTATGATTGGCGTGTTTAGTGTAGGTGACAGCACCACGGACCTCATTTTCCAGGAACACCTTCAGCACACCTCGTAGATCAGACCGGAGATACGTTTGACACCGCCACGGCGAGTCAGACGACGGATGGTGGTTATCTTGAAGAACTTTGCGATGACGCTTGGCACCTCCTTTACCAGACCTTTTCCTCCTTTGCCAAGACCAGTCAATTGTTGCTTGTTGGGTGTGAAGGAGTGGACTAGCCACCACCTTCCTACTGCTGCACCACGCCGTCCGAAGCGAAAATGAGCTAATGCCATACAGCAGGGCTCTTTTAAATCTTTTAAAGTTAAAGCAGAATGATGTGCAACCAAGTGGTATAAAAGCTGCAAAGACTCCTCGCATTATGAGTAGTTTGCTATCAAGTAGCGACACTGACTCTTTTCCTTTTAAGAGATGAACTAGCCTAAGGCTAAAAATCTCTAAAATAAAGATAAAAAAAAATATAATACCAAAAGTGCAGGAACTCAGCGATGAGTAAATTTGTCTCATGGTTTCCTGTGGAAAACCTAAAAAATCTGCCAGAAAATGAGGAAATTGACGAAAATTTTATTCAGTCTCGGAGTAGTACCAATAGACTGAGTGAATCCAATCTTTACTTTTCTGAAATTCGGGAATTTTTCCCTGGAAAATCCTGGAAAAACCTGGGAAAACATGAGGCAAATTTACTCATCGCTGAGTTCCTGCACTTATACCCCGTTCACATTACAGCCTATATCACGTAATATAGGCTGTCTTGCAATGAGCACTCATACATAGGATATCCAGAAATTTTTCAGGAACACCTTCAGCACGCACACCTCGTAAATCAGACCGGAGATACGTCAGACACCGCCAGGACGAGCCAGATGACGGATGGTAGTTATCTCGAAGAATTTGCGTTTGGTTCTGAATATGGCGATGAGTGTGCAAAATATTACGCAATTCCATCCTCCCTATTCGCACGCGCCCGAGGATCGGAGGCGAATGCCACTTCGACTTGTTTCGTCTACTTACTACAATCTGATGACTGTGCTGGGGAAGCAGCATATGCATGTAGGTAATTGGTGGATTTGTTAGTTAATTCGACGCTTTTGGACAATGCTGGACATTTACCAGTTTTTCAATAGTTTCTTGTTGAAAATCAACATTCGGAAGCATTGTTATCGATGCGTAGCCATATTTCTGATCGATTGGTGATAAAATTATTGAAATTGGACCAGGGGCAGCTGAGATATTAACGTTCAAAATCTTTCTTAATTTGTTACATGTTCCATTTTCGGTTTTCACAAAGTGTACCCCCATATAGAAATCAAAGACGTAGTCGTACGTCAGAAGCTTAAAAAGTATGCAGATTCCCGCTTCACCTTATTGAGTCCGAGCCATGATTACTTCGGCAGTAGTCATGCATGATTGAATTCGAAATAATCTTTCCAGTATTTTTTTTTATTATTAATATACCGTATGCGTGATAATGTTTGCACCATTGAGCAATGTCAAAATTTTAAAAAATCTCAAAAATTTCTTTTTCGAGTTTTTTTATTTATTTAAGGGGGGATGTTTCTCAGAGTCTTTAAATTATGTTAATCATCGATCTAGTTTCCACTTGCTACAATTACGGCCTCCACACGCTTCCGGAATGCACGGCAGGTTCTAATAATGTAGTCTGGATCCATTTCTCTCCAGGTACGGGTCAATGTTTGTCTGAGGCTTGCTGTACTCGGGTGGCGTTTAGAACAGGCCTTGGCCTTCATGACGCGCCATATTGAGTAATCCGGCGGATTAAGATCGGGGCTGGATGGCGGCCACATATCCTTCGCCCAGAACGGAAGATGTTCCTGCAACCCGCGGAAAATATTTATCCTAGCCAAGAACACGCGTACAAAATTTATGAGTTGGTTCGTGTCTAATCTATTTCGGACAAATTATTCTTATCTAGATAAAAAAAATCCTATGGTTTTGACAGTTCAGATCACTGCACATTTGAAACGGCCGTTTACGATTTTCGGGCATAAATCAGAATTAAGTGTCATGTCGGTAGTCATGAACCATAGTTCACGGTCCGTGCCTAGAAAGAACGACAACGGCCAACGATGCGTGAACTTTGAAGCCTCTCGGGGTATGGTAGTTCGAAGTACCTATTTCCCTCGCAAGGATATCCACAAAGCCACCTGAAGATCACCTGACCAACACAGAAAACCAAATCGATCACGTTCTAATCGACGGGAAATTCATCTCCGACATTATCAACGTCCGCACGTACCGCAGTGCGAACTTAGATTCGGACCACTACCTAGTTGCAGTATGCATGCGCTCAAAACTCTCGACGGTGCATAACACCCGTCGAAGTCGAACGCCGCGACCCAACATTGAGCAACTACGGGACGCCGGAGTTGCCCAGGACTACGCGACTTAAGTTTTTTGGGTAACGGATTTCTTTTTAAAAAAGATTAAACATCTAGTCCACTTGAACACTCACTTAAGACTAGCTTTATTTCTATCGATTAATGCTACAGGTGAACTTATGTCTACTCAGCACCTCATGCCATCGGTGCAGAGTCCATGCACTGTCGTCCACGTTGGTCAATTTTGCTGATGCGCCTCGATGCTGCCGGTGCGATGTCGTTCATTAACCGGCGGCCGAGTCCCACGAATTCTGCTGACGTTCGTTGATACCTGGTGAGGACTTTGCACTTATTGTTCTACCAGCCGGATGGCAATGTTGCTAAGTCGGGTGACGATGTTGCTAACTTGCCCCTCCTTAGTGTTGAGACTCCGTACGAAACACGTCCGAAAGGCTAACGTCTGGAAACTTCCTCTCATCTAACGGGGCCTCCTCGATTCCGTCAATACTGTTGGCATGGGATGATGTTGGTTGGTTGATATTGATTTTTAATGTTTTCCTGAAACTACATAGAACAAATGCAAGTATTGTTAGGATGACGATTGGAGGAAATCCTATTCCTCCGATGATGAACCATTTTGAAATGTGTATGCTGTTGTTTCGAAGATTCAAGTATTTCAGTTCCTTTCTTGTCTCTACATGTAGGCTGTGTAAATGCTCCAGGGTTAGGTTTAGTATTCCTCTCTGGACATTGATTTTGACTCCGTCTAAAGGGAGATTGATTGGTTCGCCTGTAAGCTCGTTGACCTCCATAGAGACCGTTTGATTGTTAACTGAAACGTTGCAATTTTCGTATTTGAGTAGATATGGTCCTGTTAGGTTCCTCTTAGTAACACCGCAATCTGTTTCTAAAGTGAAACTTTCCATGGTGTTTACCAGAGTGTGCTTGTTGTCCAATGATATGATTTCCCATTGGGTTGGGTTTGTGGTTATGTTGCAATTTGCTGTGTTTCCCAGTAATAGTTGTGGGATGCAGGTTGAATTGTCTAATTCGACTTCCTTCAAGTTATAAATGATTTGTTCTAATGATTTGACTATGTAGTATTGTGTATGGTGTACCAAGTATTGCTGATTGGGTAGGTGGA